CCGACAAGGATGTTTATGATACTTCCAACTGTTTTAACCTCCACATGATCATATATCTGCACTGACTCTGACCTTCTGCAAATCCCTTTGGGATGAAAGGGGATTAATCCTCCCCGCTAACTTCGGTTTCTAAGGCAGTTTCTAGAATGCTGGCAGGCAGTACTAGCTGAGGATCTCTACTCTGACACCAGATATCAGTTCTCATCTGTTCTGACATCAGATCATCCTGTATGTTTGAAATAGCTTGAGGGGATATGACCCCAGCTTAGCTTCAGGTCTCTGGGAATAATGGCTTTCTTTGAAATCATAGCCTTTTAAATGAACATGCTTTAAGGAAACTTCTTTGCTTGTAAGATATATGTGTTTAAACTGTTGCTGTGCATGTCTGCAAAAAGCACTGGCTGGAGATGGAATCCATCAGTTTATTCCTTCCCCTCTGCCTTGGAGGCCTCCTTGTTTATCTTTGGCTCTAAACATGCAGGAATATTTGATCCAATAAGAGCTGCTTTACATCAGTAGTTCTCAACCTGTGGGTCTCCACATGTTTTGGCCTACAACTCCCAGAAACCCCAGCCAGTTTACCAACTGTTAGAATTTCTGGGAGTTGAAGAACAAAACATCTGGGGACCCACAGGTTGAGAACCACTGCTTTACATGACTGTGAAAAGGATGTACATTTTGGATCATGTCATAGATTTGTTTTACCCTAGCACTCTTTCCAGGATGGTGGACAACATAAGGATGAGAGGCCCCATGTGATTTCCCAATGTCAACACTGTTGCCCAATCTGCTTAATGGTAGCAGTAGTTGAAATAGTCAACTTTTCCTTTTGAAACAAGGTGTGTGCTCCCCAAACATCTTGTTTATAAATTGAACTATATTTCTGTAATGGAGTTCTACTTGTAAACAAAGTATATGGGGGTTGTCCACTTTGAGAAATAAAAGAAGTAATCACAGTGTCAGCTGAGATGAGGTTCCTGGTGGGTTCAAGGGATGCCAGTGTGGCCTTCCAACTCTTGGATGTTAATAATAATAATAATAATAATAATAATAATAATAATAATAATAATTTTATTTTTATACCCCACCTCCATCTCCCCTAAGGGACTCGGGGCGGATTACAAAGGGACAAGCCCAGGGAGCACAAAGTTAAAAACATAACACAATAAGATAGCATCAAAACAAAACCAAATAAAGCCATATCACAATAAAACATAACATCATAAAAACAGTACCATACAGAACGATAAAAGTGCTGAGTTCAGAGAGCTCTGGGTTAGTGCAAGTTCCTAGATAGAGCTAAGGGAAAGTGCAAAATTCAGAAGGCGGGACTGGGAGGATAATGTTCATGGGCATTAAAATGTCTGGATTGTAGATAGAAGGGCCATTATAAAGTGCTGGAACTTGGGTAATATTGGGTCAATTCTTTGGAACTGCCTAGTCGAAGGCACAGTGGAACACCCATAATTTTAGGTCCTTTCAGAAGGTGGACAGGGTAGGTGCCAGTCTAATCTCCCTAGGAAGAGAGTTCCCGAGCCGGGGGGCCCTCTCCCCACCAACTGCACTTGAGACGGAGGTGGAAGTGAGAGAAGGGCATCCCAGGATGATCTTAGGGCTCGTGTTGGTTCATAGAGGAAGATGTGATCCTGAAGATAGGCAGGTCCTGAACCATTTAGGGCTTTGAAGGTAATCACCTGCACCTTGAATTGGGACTGAAACTCACTGGCAGCCAGTGGAGCTGTTTGAATGGGGGAGGGGGGTGACCGCTCCTTGTAGTTTGCTCCAGTTAGTAATCTGGCTGCCAATCTTTGCACCAATTGCAATTTCCAGGCCATCTTCAAGGGCAGCCCCATGTAGAGTGCATTGCAATAATCCAATCTGGAGGTAACTAGGGCGTGGACCACCATGGCCAAGTCGGACTGCACGAGGTATGGGCGCAGCTGGCACACCTTTAATTGTGCAAAGGCCCTCCTGGCCACTGCCAACACCTGAGCATCAAGCGTCAGAATGGAATCGCGAAGGACCCCCAGACTGCTGACCTGTGTCTTCAGGGTGAGTGTAACCCTGTCGAGCATAGGTAGCCACCCTATACTCCGATCAGCCCCATGACTGGACTTGAACGATCTCTGTCTTGTCAGGATTAAGCTTCAGTTTGTTAGCCCTCATCCAGTCCATCACTGCGGCCAGACACTAGTCAAGGATCCAAAGGGCTTCCTTGGATTTTGGTGGAAAGGAGTAGTAGAGTTGTGAGTCATCTGTGTAGAGATGGCACCGAATTCCAAAACCCACAGCAATGTATACAATATTCTACTAATAGTTCAAAATGATTGCACTTTGGACTGTTGATGGTATTCTTCAAGGCAAAAATCAGGAACAGAAATCTTAGCTGAACTTAGTGTTGATCTCATTTTTCTACAGATGTGTGAAATCTTTCTAGCTCAACCATAAGTAAGAACAACAAATTAACAAAAGATCCACTAAAATATTTTATTAAAACACTAATGAAAAGGACTACTCTTCTCTTCATCTATACTTACTTCTGCTTAATCATAGTTTAACACATGTAACAATCACTTTTACCAGTACCTCTATTGTAACATATTCTATTTGAATTACCTCTATATATCCTTTATTATCACAAACCGAGAAAACAGCAAGCCAAATACATACACTGTACCAGAAAGTAAAAGAAAGAAAGAATGAGTTCAGATAGTTTATATGACAACAGGACTTATGGAAAAGTCCTGCAACAGAGGCTGTTTTCACACATTCCTCAGAATGTGTGTTCATTTATGTTTTACGGTTTTAACGACAGGAAGGCCAAATCGAATTCTAGAATGTTTATGTTACTGAATTGGCTCCTACAAACATTTAGACATTTATTTTATTTTCCTTAAAAATACCATCTTGTAAAAGGTATTGGACAGCAAAGAAATGTATATCTTTATTTTGGGCATTTGAAATCCTGGATGATTACATTGCATGAGAGAAAGCAAAGCTCTGTATGTTCTAGTTGTACCTCCTCTACAGTTATTGAAGCTCAGGATCCCATTCACACACCACAGTCACAATGCTGTCTTCCATTTTAACACCCATGTCAACATCTTTTGGAAATCTCAGCTTAGCTAACCCTGCTAATATCATAAACCCACAGTTAACATATTAACTTCATGTTTATGCAAAAAGAATAATAATTTGTATAATTATCAAAACCTACTGTTTTTTACCAAAAGATTTTCAAAGATTCTGCCCCAGTTGCCCTTTGATCCAAGGAGAATTTTTTGCTGATCCAAAGTCAACGATTACTGTATAGAGCATTCGCTTCTGCAGTGTAACAATCTCAGGAATGGCTTTCGATTTGGAATTCCAACTTGAAAGTCCTTGAGTCTGTAGTTTAGTGAAATACTAGAGCTCTATGGATGAGAATGTTTACATAATCTGCAAATTCCATGTGCCTTCTTGAGTGAGTAAGATGGGATCCACGAGGAGCAATCAGGTAAATATACAATTGGTTTCTCCATTCTATAGGAAGGTTCTCAACAAAGGAGGCTCTATATATTATTGTACTCCAACTCCCCAAATCCTTGACCAAGCAAGTGAATGAGCAGGGGCCAAAGTAGGAGGAGCACTCACTAAGCATGTCTTGACTATAGAATCCTCAAAAGCTACCACTCACACTAAGGAAAGCCCTTGAAGAAGACAGAAGGTATAAAACTGGCCCTCTTTATTTGTGGGGATATGTGGATATCGTCATCCATGCCTCTTCAAGTTCTATCATGGCATAGTAAAATAGTGTATAAAATGACAAACTTTTCAAACAAGTGCTGGAGAAAGCTTGGGAATATGTGAAACGGTGAGAGGATACAGCAGGGGTTGCCTACACATCTGTGGGTTGCTACTTGGTGCACAAGAAAATCAAGGTTTGCTTTCTGGATTTTTTCCAATTTTTTTGAGCCATGGTTGGTTGAATTTATGGATTTGGAGCACATGGCTCAAACTGTATTTCCATAGGGACACACCAAGAGTGATAGCAGACATTTTTCCAGATGAAGGTAACTATTAACGACAGATGATTAGCATGATGTATCCTACATGGTCTTTGGACATCTTGAATCCATTCAGATGACATTCTTTCATATACAAAAAGGGTACTGTTGAGAAAAAGATATTTGTAGCATAAGCTTTCAGAAAGTGTTGATGAATCAAAACCATTCTAATATCCTGTATTAGTTTACTCTATGTACTCATATATAAGTCTATAACTTTCAATCAAAAAAGAAACCCAAGAACATGGGTCAACTTATTCACAGGTCAATGTAAATACTGTATCTTAACTCTGATTTTAAAAGGAACCATTCTCTTATTTGAGTTAAGTGCTGAAAGTGCTGAAAGGCGCCCGATCTTCTGCTTACTCCATCTTGGGAGAATCGAAATAAACACCAAACCCTTCTACTGTCTCTGCTGTTGCACTGTGTCTGGCCTTTTTGAATGCCTGGATAGGGAAATGGCAGTCACAACCAGGGCCAGCTGTCCTGCTGAATCGGGAATGGCACTTTCCCCTGTTAGTGGAATCACCCTCGACTTATTCATGGGTCATATCAAAATCTAAACTTTTGGCTCTAGAATCTGCCCTCAACGTATAAATTAGTTCTACTTATACTGTACATGAGTATATATGGTATGTCTCACTCTACACAAGCAGATGTATCTCAAGGGTGCAACAAGATCCCTTTACATACTGATTCAGACTAGCACAACTATGTCTTTGAATTCTATAATACAGGATTCCAATGGCTATATGATAAAAAATCATTACTATTTGGCAGAGTGATACAGATGATCAGGTTATAGTGTGTTATGAAAGCTCTCACAAGGCTATGTTGGGTGTCTCAATAGAACTCTGATTCAAGTAATTTTGTTGCCTGAAGCAGGACACTAAGTGGCTCCCGACCTTAAGGCCACTGTACATGGCTTATTCAAGTACAGCTGAGTTATTATTTTTTTTTACTTTGTTCTCAGTAACCCCTACGTGTGTTGCTTTGAGTTCTTTGTCACTTGTCACTGTGACTTTTGTCAGTGCAAAATAGTTGATATGGAGTCATAGTTCTTGGAAGAAAACTTAGGCCACAAATTTCATTTTCTTTCATTCCGAATTGACAGTCAAAACATGCCGCATGACAAGGTACATTTTATCACATGCCATCTCCACTTTGTATTGTAGGATGACAGCAAGACCATGTCATCCCCTTTTTCATGTTTAATTATAGATGGTTTCAAGCAACCATTGAATGGATGCATCTACAGCAAACACACCACCATTGTCTTCTCCATGAGGCTGGAAATGTCTCCCATCCAAGATTAATTTGCCCTTTCTGAAACACAAAATGAATACCGCAGTGTTAATTCCAGCTGTCTCTGGAACTCAATAAAGCCCCCGAGAAGCTTTTGAAATATCATAAAACTGAAAGGGAGGTTTTTAAAAAAGTAGTTTTTCATGTTTGCCTTGAAAGAGTAATAATGCCATTTTAAAAAGAAATACTTGGTGGTTGCAAGATCTAATCAATACACCATTAAGTTACTGACAGAACTGAGATAAGATTACATGGTGAAGAAATTGCGAAACCTTTTACTTTTTCCATTTTCAGAAAGGAGAATCTAGGAAAGCTGGGTACTCCCCCTCCTCTTTAAACCTCATATCAGCAACCCAAGATAATCTCCCTTCTTTGCTCTCATCAGAAAAATTCACCTGGGGTACAGATGGTGGGAAATGGCCAAGGTTGTCAAAGATTTGGTATATATTGTGCCTGTGATTGTTGCTATTCCGGTAAATGCAATTTCTTTTTTTAGCAGAGGAGAACCTCTCTAATTGGTTTTAGTCTACCCACCCCTTGCCTTAACCAATTTTTGATAAATTCAAACACTTTGGCAAAAAAGAGCATTGTAATGAGACACAAGCAGTTGAGCTGAGGGCCTTTTCACATTACACAATTATAAGGTCACTTTAACTACAAAGGTTCCAGCCTAAAGAAAATTTGATTTGCACTTTAGGGAATGGTATTCTTAAAGCTTTGAGAACTTTGTTAATTTTGTTTGAAGTTATCAAGTTAACTTCAACTTGTGACAACTATGAATGAAAGCTCTTAATGGACTCAGGTCTATTGACTGAGTCACATCGTATTATGAAACATCCAAAATACTATAGTCACAGTTTAGTCACCATGGATTGTAGTGAAAGCTCAGGCCTGGTTTGCTCTTTTTGTTGATTCATAGTGTCTCTACAGATTTAGAGTCCATCCAGGCAGACCCATAATGTGGGTTTCCCTGCTTTGCTCCAAATTAATTGAATCCCTGGTAAGATCTAAAGGTAAAATCTGAGTCTTACCAGGTGTGGCTCCTGTGTTGATTGGGCCCAGAAACCGCATCATGCAATCCCGGGGTCCAATCCACACATCCATCTTGGTTTTTCAGACTCTAGGAGGCCCACCAGGTCAATTTTAAGTTGTGAATTTTAATCTGCATTTTTATCAGTCTATTTTAACTTGTATTTTAACACTGTGTATCATGTTGTATGTTTTTTTAATAGTGATTTCTCTCTTGTTTAAATAATGTATCCCACTTCAAGCTGCAGGGAGAAGCAGGTAATACATTGATGATGATGATGATGATGTGTCCTGCAATGATTTTTGAAAGAAACAGTACAGAGTTCCAAGCTCATGAAAACAGTAGTTGTCACACGCCTTTCCAACTTATGGCATCACCAAGGCAAACCAATTGTGGAATTTTCTGGGCAATATTTGTTAAGGGTTGTTTGCCTTCCTCAGAGGCTGAAAGAGTGATTTCCCCAAAATTCCTTGGAGGGCTTCCAGGACTAAATGAGGGTTTGAATCCTGTTCTCCAGAGTGTTAGTCCAATGTCATTCCCAAAAGAAAAAGTTCAGGCTTTAATTGGATTCTGAGCTTTTAAAATCCATTTAATCTGGCTATGCTTTTGAGCCCAATATTTTTAGCCTTTTAACAAGCCCACCACACATGATAGAAAAGCCCTCTGTGTTTACCACATTTCCAACATACATTCAATGTTCCTTCCTTTTGAAGACTTGACTCTGTCAGTCTAGAATATCAGTATACAAAGGGATCTTGCAGTCTCTTAGAGATTAATTAAAAAATAGTTGGTAGCCTAAGTTTTTGTAGACTAGTCTAGTTGCTCCTGCAACTCCTGTCAACTTCATCCTCTCAGTCTCTAAGATCCCTTTGCATCTCAATATTCCTTTGTACATCTTAAACAGTATCTCTAGTATTGTGTACCAGTTGTACATTTTATAAAAATTCTCATTTGCAGAGTGAATTTCAACCTTTTTAATGTTGTGTGTGTTTTAATATCCTGTCTTTTAACAACAATCTGTAAGTAGCCTTATGACTAACATTGAGGGGGGAAATGGGATCTAAAAGAATTAACAACAATTCTGAAAATGCATTTGCTCTTGAGGATGAAGGTGGTTCCTTGTCAACTGGGAGTTATGGACCCACACCGGTAAGCTGCTCACTTGTATTTAGTTTGATCATGAGCAATTTAAGATTAGGGAGCAAGTCCTCATCAATTCTCTTTGTCATCCATTGAATCAACACACCAGACACAAGGGACAGGATAAGGTCAATATGGATATAACCAAGAAACCTAACATCATCAGCAAATAATAACAAATACTTTGTCAGATCTATACAGGCTTCCACATTCTGTTTGAGAAGAACAAATAACAGCCAGAACCTATTTTTTTGAGTCTGGCATCTTTGAGATGCCCTGCTGTGCTTTGGATGAAACTAATTTGAAACTTATTGAACCTTTCCCTTTTTTGTTGCTCTTGGCTCATCCAGGTTCAGATCACACAGAGACAAAATTCTGCATCTTCCTGGGAATCACTAGTCTTTGACTTTTTTTCTCTTCTTGCTTGGTCCCAGTGGATTTTTTTTAAAAAAAAACAACCAATCTTGTATGCTTTCTAAATATGACAGCAAATTTCTATAAATTTCAAAAGGTCTGGTAACGTCATGTACCTTTAGTTCTTCTGCAGTCTCAATTACAGTTTCCAGTCTCTGCTAAGATAGAGAACGGTTTTCTGGTTTCCCTTTCTTCTAGTCCAAAAAGTATGCATGAACTAGGGAAGTTGTGGAAGAACAGCTTCACTTTCACCTTCACTAAGATTTTTTAAACTTAAAGTGCTTTGTGTCCCAAATGCAAATTATAGAATCATAGAACTGGAAGAGACCCAAATGGTCATTCAGTCCCAGTCCTCTGCCATACAAGAAGACACAATCAAACTTAGAACTTCCTACAGACAGCCATCCAGTCTCTACTTAAAATCTTCAGAGAAGGAGACTCCATCATGCTTCAAAGCAGCATATTCCACTTTCAAACAGCTCTTACCACCAGAGTTCTTCCTAATATTCATGTGGAATCTCTTTTCCTGCTATTCAAATCCATTGCTCCATGTTCTAATCTCTAGAGCAGCAGAAAAAGACTGTCTCCATCTTTAATATGTCATTTTTGCAAATAATTTAATATACCATATTTTCTGACGCACTAAACAACTTTTTAAGCCTGGAAAATCTTATGAAAAGTTAGGGGTTATCTAGTATGCTGGGTGTAAATAAAAATAAAAATAATAAAACTAAAAGAATAAAACCTTCCTTAGTGGTGCAGCCTAAGGAGGGAGGAGGAGGAGGAGGGAGGGGGGCATGGGGAGGAGGAGGAGTGGCAGGCTGCATTGCCACAGAGACCGGCYGGGGGTGATGACCCACTGGACTTTCCCTGGGGTCCCCGCTGCTCTCCCCGCTCTCCTTTCAAGGACCTCCTCCGCCCCCATCGCTCACCTCTTTTGAAGGCCACTGGGCTTGCCTAGACCYAAGGAAGTGCCTCTGGATKATGACTTCCAGCAGCCCTGGGTGGCGGCGTGCCTTGGATATGTTCGCTGAGGCATTCTGGGAGCCATAGTTCCCTGACCCCTATGCCCCTATGACAACCAGAATGCCTCAGTGAGCATATCCAAGGCACGCTGCCACCCAGGGCTCCTGGGAATTGTCCAGAGGTGCTTCCTTGCACCTCCAGATGAYGACTCTCAGCAACCCCRGATGGCAGCATGCCTTGGATGTGCTCACTGAGGCATTCTGGGAGCAGTAGGAGTTAGGGAACTATGGCTCCCAGAATGCTTCAGCGAACATATCCAAGGCACACCACCACTCAGGGCTGCTGGAAGTCATCATCCAGAGGCACTTCCTTGGGCCTAGGCAACCCCAGTAGCCTTCGGAGAAGGTGAGCGGCGAGGGCAGAGGAGGTCCTTGAAAGGAGAGCATTGGGGGCTGCAGGGGCATAGTGTTGGAAGAGGGGTAGTCTTAAATGGTGAATATATTCCTAACTCTGTATTTTATCTTTAAAAGTTGGAGGTCGTCTTATACCCCCAGTCGCCTTGTATGCCAGAAATACGGTAGTTATCACATCACCTTATTATCTTCTCTTCTTCATACTAAACATATCCAATTCCCTAAGCCACTTTCTCATGAGGCATGGCTTCCAGACTCTTGGATCATTTCGGTTGCCCTTTTCTGGATATGTTCCCGCTTGTCATTATCCTTCTTGGATTGTGGTGCCCTAGACTGGACACCATATTCAGGTGATTTCTGATCAAAGCAGAATAAAATAGAGCTATTATGTCTCATAATCCAAGCCCAGAATTTTAAAATTTAAGTACAGTATGCATGATTATTATGTGAGCTCATTGAACTCAGTTTGAATACCATAACATTTCTCTGGAGTACCGAGTGATGCCTAGAGAATTGCCCTGGAAACCTAGAGAGAACACTTTTCTGGGCATCACCAGGTCTGCCAGGTGATTCTGCAGTATGCTTTGGCTGGAAGCCCTAAACATTTATAATTTTTGGTAAGAAAATAGGGTCCCAGATTGCGCAAAATTGTATTATTGAAGAGTTCCAGAAGAGATTACTCATGTAGGGTGATTGTACTCAGGGCTCTCCCTGGTCTAGATGACAGAATCAGTCCGTTCTGCTTTCTCCCATTTTGATTTTTAAAAGAAGACATAACGTTGTTTTTATCCTGGACATGACTACATTTACCAATTTTGGTAAAACTTTAAAATGACGTTCTACTGATCCCAAGAACTGCTATAGTGCAGCTCTTTCTTGTATCATGAGATTAAGCAAGAAATGAACCTACTCTGTATGTTCTTTCCAGACCGTCACATTTATTCCAGAGTCTGAGGATAATGAGAACATGGACTGGAGTACAATATGATCTCTTCCTTTCTTGGCTGTTGTTTTAGTTACGCAGCCTGAGACATCCCTAACCAACGATTCATTCACAA